CAGGAATAGGACAGTGATGTCCACTGTCGTGGAAGAACTCTTGTGACAATAACACATTTAAACGAACACAAGGAGTCGGACAGTCATTCGGCCACCGTGGAACCTTATTTTTATTTACTCGCAGATGTAAATTAGTTACATATGTGTGGGCATGTATTATCCTATCTGGTTGACTACACTCTGAGTGTGTCGTCTGTAGACAGTGTTCCTCTGTACCGTGCCCCCCTCGGGATAATCTGGACTTATTTCAGCGTGAATCATTCTCGGCATATACTGTAGTTCTTTAAATATAACCATGATGCACGGACAGTATGGGCAGTTATCATACTTCAAAGCATTGACTCTGTTCCTTTCACTTCAGGAAACAAGACATAAAAATAAAAAACGAAAAGGCAACACAAGCAGGCGCTAAAGCCAAGTCGCATCTCTGTGGTGTGGTACAAGCAGGGGCACACAGGCTGTGACAAGTGTGGCCCTCGCCCCTCATGTTAACTATAAGGTGTTCACTGAAAGGTCACAGGCTTTGTTGCCGTGGAAGCAATTCGTCTTGGAGTTTCCCAAGAGAGACGTCGCAGCTGCAGACGTTCAGATTACAGAACGAGCTTCAAACAAACGGCACGTTTCAGCCTCTTGAGTAACACCGTCAGGTGTACGCTGGTATGTCAGTGCACGGACTTGGCTGCCACCAGTCTTCTGTTCCCTCTCATTTCCATACCTCCCAGAAACAAACATCAGTGAGACTGGAGATGAAACAAGAGAAACATCCCACCATGAAACTGACTCTTCTGCCAGGATACAGTACGACAGCTTCCTGTGAATCAACCTGCTCACAATCATGTCAATCTGACTCCCATGCCAGAGTTTTTCTCTCTCTGTTTCTTCATGCTGCAGAAATGTAAACAGCCGTTCTAGAGGATTGGAACAGAAAAAATATTTATTTTCCTCTTGGCTAGTTTTTTAAATAAGATAAAATTGTAGATTAAGGATGTGCTGTGTTTTTTTTGTAGTTTACTATTTTATCTATTTATGGCAGGGGTGTCAAAATCATTTGGTTTCAGGGGCCATATACTGTCTGATTTAATGTCATTTGTCCTGGACCAATAGAATCTAAACGTAATTACCTATAAATAACAGTAAGTCCATATTTCCCCCCATTGTTTTCCTGCAAAAGCGTACAAGTATATTAGAAATGAAATGAAAACTGAAATATAATTTGAGAAAACATCCCCGACATGAAGTTTTTCACTTTAAAAAAAAATCATCAAGCAGGCCAGATTGAACCCCCGTAGCTCATTGTTTCCCAAAGACTGGGTCGCAACCCTCAGGTGGGTCGCAAGAGGATTTTTTTTTGGGTCGTCTCGCATCATGTTTCCTAGCAGTTTACCAATAATGTCTATTGACTTGGGTCGCAAAGTTTTGTGACTTTTAAAATACAGGTCTCCACAAAAAAAAGATTGGGAAACACTGCCCTGGCAGGCTGGTTTTGGCCCACGGGCTGTATGTTTGACATCCCTGATTTACGGCAACATTTTCTGACAAGATATAAATATTTAGTTATTTTTTTTCCTCTGTTTTTGTGTTGGATGTAAATACTCATTGACTTTGTGTACAAATTATTCAAATTGATCATCATTAGTAAATTGTGCATTTTACTCTTTTAATATGAAGAAGCTCCTTCATTAACGTAGCTAACAATTTAGTTTTGCAACCACTTGGACCCATTAGCAGTGTGCTAATAAACTGATGTTTTAGCCTCTGTGTAACCGTGGGACCGTGGAGCTCACTAAATTCTCAATGGGTGGAGGCTAGGATGAGAAAGCTTCAGAGAATGTAAGTCTAGATTATAGGGTGATGTGAAAAGACAGGGAGGTGAAGTGGAAGAAACAGCTGGGTCCATCCACCAAGATGTTCCTGGAACACGGGGGGCCACAGAAAATGTAGGGACGTCACAGCCTTTCATGTTTAGGTTGAAGGTTTCTGTCAAAGCGGAACGAGCTGGGACATGTCCGTCTTCCTCTGAGTCACTTCCATATCCACCGTCTTTCTTTGGAGGCTGCAGCCGTTATAGTCCTTGTTAAAAAAAAAAACAACAAAAAACTACGATATTTTATCACCACGTTTTAACAGTCACACAGTCCAGTCAGAACTTTCTCTGAGTGTTACCAACAGCCCAAAACATCAACCTGCAATTCTGATGAAGTACAAAAGCTGGGAGTTGGGTTTGTTCTAAAAGCAGTTATTATTTCACAGGTAAAGCTTTAAAAGTCATAATTATACTCAGAGTGAACTCCAGTGCATGTAAATCATTATGCTGGAGCAGAAGAAGTGAATACAAGTGTGGCCCACCAGGAAGGCTTGGATCAGAGACAGATAGAGATAGAGGCATTCTTTATATATCAGGTGAACTATAATTTATTTGTCTGTATGTGTGTGTGTCTGAGAGTCTCTCTGTGTGTGTGTGATTACCACATGCTCTGTTCAACATATAAAGTTCAACCAGGATGATAAAAACCATGCTTGACTTGTTGTGACTTATTACTTGTATCTTCTCTTATTTCTACTTCCTGACTCTTTTATACTCATTTAAAAAACTCAAGCAAAAAGACGACTTTACAACCTGCAAAATAAACTACACCAAACATCGGTACCAGCTCATTTTACCACACTCCTGTGTCTTTCTCCTGCTGCAGCTTCTTTCTACGGCGACGGCTTCGTTCAGCTCAAGGCGGCGGAGTCGTCCAACCATAACACGCTACGCGTTCGTTTTCGGACCTCCAGCACCGATGGCCTGCTGTTTCTTGCCGGTGGCCAGACTCACTACTTCCTACTCGAGCTGCACACTGGTCGCCTCCAGGTAGGTACATTCATGGCCCCGGCAAATGAGCTCATGTCAGTGCACACAGACACACACACTGTACATGAACATGCATGTAGTACAAGCAGAGTTATGTGCTCGCCGCAGCACACATGTACATGTCCACGGAAGACACACTAGTACCCTGAGCTGTAGTCCTGTCTCAGCTGGCTGTATCAGTCTCTCAGCACTGTCACACAGACAGACAGACTGGCCTGGTGCTAACTGAGTGTTTACTCTGGACCAGTCTCTTCATGTCAGTAGGAAATAATGAAGGTGATGAGACGTTAAGTCATCCCGGTCCCACAGTTATCTGTCATTAATCTCATTAAAATACTGCTTTGATGTATTTGCTGGTATTCAGATCACTGCCTGATATTATATCCACATGGTGAGACACGTCCTAAAATAACAACTGACGTCTGGACGTCAGTGCTAATATCTAATTTTTTTTAATATGATTTCCACAATATATATATATATATTTTTGTTAAAGAATGTCCGCTGCTGTTTTGCACTGTTAAAAGAAGTGCTTTAGCCGAGAGAGCCAACAGAACAGTTGTGTCTGTTCGACGACAACAGACTCTGTGATGCACTGTCACATTAGCGCAGCACATCCAGAGGAATGTTTGCCCCTGCTCCTTGAACTGTCACAGGTCGCAACGATATTTTTGTTCAGCCGCGCGCATGTTTTCCTCAAGCTCAGGGTCTCAATCCATGTGAGTCAGAAATTAGTTTTGCTCCCTTGAAAACCATGTATGATTAGCAGGGGCACACACACACACACACACACACACATACATGCAACAGCTGTAGCAGCAAACCATGAAAAGCTTGTCATCTGAAGGAAGTGTCAGTTTGTTAGCAGTGACATGATGCTCTCAGGATGTAGCCGGAGGCTAAAAGACTATAAAACGTTTTTTAATGGGTCATATGTAGTACAGTGATAAATGTGATGCTAAACTTCCAGAATCACAGTGTAATTTGTAATGAAGAGTTTTGCTTCTAATTTCAGTTGAAACTGGACCTGGGTTCTGGTGAGCAGGTGTTACAGTCCGACCCAGGAACACAGCTCAATGATCTCGCCTGGCACTCTGTGGAAGTCCACCATGTGTTGAACGACATCACTCTGACTGTGGACAAAAACTCACACACGAAGATTAAAATGCCGGGCCTACTGCATAATCTGAACATTGTGGATGGTCTTCATGTTGGAGGCTCAGGGGGCCTAGACAGGTTTTATCTTCCCAGAGACCAAGTTGGCTTCAGAGGCTGCATGGAGGACGTGGTCTTTAATGATCACGACCTGCTGTCATCTCTGAGGCCATATAGTGGATTCAAGTACGTCCATGAGGTGTCTTTAGGCTGCAGTCCCCAGTTTTTTGCGACCAACGAGGACCCTATCAGCTTCTTCAGCTCGAAGGCGTACGTTTCACTTCCGACTTGGAATGGCCATCAGCAGGCGGTGTTTGAGTGCATCGTTCACACATCTGCCAAAGAAGGAATTCTGTTGTACAACTCGGCCAGAGAAGGGGACTTTGTGGCTTTAGAGATTCAGGAAGGCTTGCCAGTGGCAATTGTTGGGAAAGCCGGGAGCAAAACTGAGCTCCGCTCCCTCACATTCATCAATGACAAGAAATGGCACTCGGTCAAGCTGCACTTCAGTTCCAAAAGCTTGGAACTCAGTGTTGATGGTGAGATGGTGAAAAGTAGCATCAGCTCTAGGACAAAGGAGATTCAGCTGAAAGGTCATCTTTTTGTTGGAGGTATAGATGACAGCACTAGAGCTGAAGCCAGAAAAGTGGGCTTGGTCTCCACGTCTGGAAAACGTGTCAGAGGAGGTTCTTTTAAAGGTTGTCTAAAGAACATTGAGGTGAATGGAGTCATGATAAGTCTGGCCGATGCTGTAGTCACCAAGGACATATCAGTTGGTTGTGAGCCAGAGAAAGAACCAGAACCATCAACCACACTGAGTCCAACAGTTTCTTCACGACCTTCATTTAATTTAGTCACACCAACACCACCATTCCAGATGTCTACCCTAGCCAGGGGCTTGGACAGAAGGTATGGCTACAATTTTGTACAGCTCAAAAACCTTGTGGTCCCAGAAGGTGGCCGGGGATCCCTTGATGCCAAACACATCAAGGTTCTCCTGGACTTCAGCATTCGCCAGTCTCAGATCATGTTCAGAATTCAAGAGCAACCGCTACGTGGTCAGATAAGACTCGACGTAGATCAAGACCAGGAAGAGAACACCTTCAGCATGTTGGACCTCTGGCATGGAAGAGTGATGTACATCCACGGAGGCTCGGAAGAACCAGATGACTTCTTCATGTTTTCCTTTTTTTCTAGCAGTAGAAAGCAGGTTCCCGATTATCTCAAGACTAACAAATTGTATCGCTACAATATCACTGTGACTCCAACCAATGATGCACCGGAGTTGAGTCTTCCTGAAGGAAATCTATTTGTTCTGTTGGAGAACTCTAAGAAACATCTCACCACAGAAGTTCTGAAGGCAACGGATATTGACAGCAACTACACCGACCTTGTCTTCTCTGTACTTGGAAACCTAAATGCTGATGCAGGTTATTTGGAAATTGAGAACAACCCTGGCATGGCAGTCACCTCATTTTCATACTCAGACCTAGAAGAACTGAGGGTGTACTACGTTCACCATGGGGTTAGAACTTCTCGGATAGTTCTCAGAGTAAGTGACGGAGAGAAGGTCAGCAACACTGTAGTCCTAAGAGTTATGGCTATAGCCCTGGAGTATAAGATTGCAAACAACACTGGCCTGCAGGTCATTCAAGGAGATGCAACTGTAATCAGTTCAAAACAACTAAGTGTGCAAACCAATGCTGTGAAGCAGATAGTAGACATCCGCTATGATGTCACCGAAGCCCCTCAGTACGGAGAACTCCAAAGACTTCACTCAAGTGGTGAGTGGAGACCTACAGACTCGTTTTCCCAAAGACTTCTGGAAAAAGAACGTCTGCGGTACATTAGCACATTTGTAGACATTCAAACGTCAAACGCCACCGATTCCTTTAAGTGCAAAGTTAATGTGGCTTCAAGAGCAACCACTGAAATTATCTTCCCAATAACTGTGAAATGGGTCAATTACCAAGTGATTAAGAATGTTATGATGGACATGGACAAAGCAAGAAAAGTTACTCTGGACTCTGAGCATATTTTTGCCATAGCTGAAGGTGCGGTCCTCTCAGAGGATGAACTTTACTACCGGGTTCTCACCACCCCAAAGAAAGGGATACTCCTGCTTGACACCAAGCTCTTAAAGAAGAACTCAACTTTTAGCCAAAGGAATGTTACGGATCTGAAAGTTCACTATGAACTAGTCGACAGGCCTTATACAGACACAAGTGACAGGTTCAAATTTCAGCTGGTGTCCAAACACGCTCAGTCTCAAAATTATGATTTTCAGTTTTCCATCAAAGCTGATGTCAACAGCGTGTTCATGACAAATGACGGTCTTTCCCTCTTGGAGGGTGAAAGTAAACTCATCACAAAGGAGAATTTGTTTGCAGAGACTCTAAGTACAAAGGATTTGTACTACACCGTCATAAAGAATCCCAAACATGGGAAACTGGCACGGATCAGTCAGTCAAATTCAAATGCAAGCTACGACAACATCGTTAGCTTTAGCAATCAGGATATATTAGAGGACAGGATTATGTACATGCATGATGACAGTGAAACAACTCAGGACGAGTTCACCTTCATCGCTTCCGCAAACCAGGGATTAAAATTTACCATCTCAGAAGAGGATGTTGGTTCTAAGGAAGGAACATTTAACATATCTATTCAATTAGTCAACGATCAGAAGCCAGTACGGGTTGTTGATAAAGTTTTCCATGTGGTGAAAAACGGACAAAGATTACTTACCCTGGAGGACTTATGTTATCGTGACAAAGACGATGATTTTGATGACAGCCAGTTAATTTACTCCCGGCGTGGTATCCCATTGGGAGACCTGGTTCTGGTCAATGACTCCAATCATCGACTGTTCCAATTTCGTCAGCAGGATCTGGAGGAAAAGCGAGTGTTGTTTGTACACAAAGGAGTGAGTACCGGGAGATTTGTACTGTTTGTCTCCGATGGAAAACATTTTGTATCAAGTCTTTTAGACATCAGTGCACAGGACCCTTTCTTGAAGGTTGAAAACAACACAGGATTACTGGTCCAGAAGGGTCAGTCAGTAACCTTGACAACCAGTAACTTCAGTGTCACCACTAACCTGGACGTCCGAGATGACCAGCAGGTTGTTTTCAAGTTGGACGAGGCTCCCAAGTATGGAGGACTTTATTGTGAAGACACAAAGCTGGATTCGTTCACACAGTCCGATCTAAAGGACGGACGCGTCTCCTATCGTCACGGAGACAGCAAACATCTGACCGACTATTTTAATGTTACAGTGAGAGCTAAAAATATTCAACTTTCAGTGAGGATTAATGTAAAGATTTACCTGGAAAGTCATCAGAGGCCTCCTATTGTGTTACATCACAACCCTTTACTGGTCGAAGAAGGAAAACCAGTGAAAATTGACGAAGCTGATCTCAAGGTGAGTGCAATTACCTCAGTCTCGGAAAAGAATAAACCATAGTTAAAAATGTTAACTTTGTTTCAGATACTAACTGATGATGACGTAAGAACCTTTTTAGCATAAATGTTAAATTAACAGAAGTTGGTTTTTGTAAACAAACTACATAAACATCCTCCTTCCTACCCTGCAGGTGGTGCTATAATACAGTTTAAATGCCCTAGTCTAGTCCAGTGATTGAGCTCCATATTATTTTTTTATTTTTTTAAATGAGCTCTATTTCATAATTCTAATGGAGACATCTGTGGTAGAAATGTTGAAACCTAAATAGAATTTTTTTTTTAATTTGACTGTTTTGACTCACCTTGTATTCTCAAATTATAATAAAGTGGAAATAAACAATGCACAATAAGGGATGAAAGTTATACAATATATTACATTGTCCTCTAGGCTGTCCAGGCTGCTGTGAAGGGGACAAATGAATGTTGACCAGCATTAATGTTTTGCATACAACATCAATGCCTTGTTTTGCTGCGTTTTTTGCTGCAGGTCACCCATGAGGACAACCTGCCATCAGAGATTGTTTTCACAGTTAAGGTGGAACCTCTGCATGGTATTCTCAGGCGATTTATTGAAGCAGAAAATCACTACATCGGTACCAAACAGGACCCTGTCAAGACCTTCACCCAAGAGGACATCAACAACGGGAACATTCAGTACATGCAGGAAGAGCCGGAGAAAGCCAACGACACCTTTGTCCTGGACGCCACCAACGGAGTCACAGACGTGGGGGACATCAGGATGTCTGTTGACGTCATCCCACGTCTCATCCCACTCCAGGTCCACAATTTCACTCTGAATGAGGGCGCCTCCAAGGCACTGACGGAGGAACTGCTCCAAGTCACCAACAGGCACTTTTCCGGAATCAACTTCCTGTATAATTTGTCCCAGCCCCCACGGCACGGTCACGTTGAGCATTCTCGACATCCTGGCGTGTCCATAACCTCCTTCACCAGGAGGCAGGTGAGATGTGGTTGCACAGATTCATTAAAGAACAAACAGTACCGACCCAGTGGCAGGTTTATTGCTGGGAAGGAATTTGATTTAGTGCAGCAATAAAAGTTTATGTAACTAATGGTTGAGACACGCGTCGGCCATAAAGAGTCAGTTTCTTCAGATTTTCAATGTAAGCTTTTTTTGATGACAAAAAAAATATTTATTCATTTTCCTGTTACAATGCCATGAGGTTTAGCAGCAAAAGAAAGGCATTTACATTTTTGTTTGTTGAACCTCCTGGGCCACTGTAGTTAGGTGGTGGCCTTGCTTGCAGGGGGCATGAATAGAAGTAAATATAGTAAATAAAGTTTTCCCTCTTTCTTAAATCTGTTAGTTTGGTTACTCACATAAAGATAAATTTAACAGAATAGCACGTGTTGTGTTTGCTATATATTGACAAATATATTAAAAATATGCCTGCAATATACTGCAAAAGTGGCACAGAGGCCTATTGACTGATGCCATATATGATGATAGCTGTTAACATTAAAGTCAGGTCTTAAGAGAGTATGCAAGCAATTTGGTTCAACATTGCAAGACATTGCATGTGAATGACTGGCCTGCCTGCAGTCCAGATCTTTGGACTATTGAAAAAAGGCTGATCTCTGAGCAATGTGATTATAAAGGCATCCTTGTAGTAGTGTACCAACCTTTTTGAAAATTGAGTGCATTGCAGTATAGACTGATGTGCAGAAATTCATGCAGGCACTTAATTATTTATTAGTGACTTGAATTTTATCTTCCTTTATTATAGACATGTAAAATAATAAAACATTAATTCAGATACCAACGTTTTGGAAACTCCTCAACCCATATTTTTTTTTTATGATCCTTCAATAGGTAGAACATGAATTCATTTACTACGTACACGACGGCAGTGAAACCTTAGATGACAACTTCACCGTAGTGGCCAATGACTCAGGACTGAGGAAACGGAGTGCGACCCAGACGGTCTACATCCAGGTTACAGCTGTCAACGACGAGCCGCCTGTCATTACAGTTAACAGGGTTCTCAGGGTGAGTCTGCCTGGCTCTATATCTACACTTTTTTTTATTATTAGCAGCTCTGGCAACACGGCTCACTTGTCAGATGGTTTTCATGTGGGCAGTGTTGTTGCCATGGCTGAGAGGGCGGCTGATGGAAAGTATGATTGCTATGTGGAGGAGGGTCGGCAGCACAGACCATGAACGTACCGGTCCAGGATCAGATCCAGTCTTTATGGTTAATGAGAATATAATTAAATTATGCTAAGGAGAAAGGTTATTGTTGCCTTTAAGTCTCTGTTGAATCTAAGTGATTCCTAGATAAGAAAATAATTTAATTAAATGTGTCCTAACTCCTCGGCAGTACAAGGATATGAGCATATTTTTCTGAGAATGTGAGCTTAATGACCGTAATTATAGTTATAGCCAATGACCTCATTTGAGTTACCACATGACCTCAGGCCACTATTCAATAAAAAGCACATTTTTTCCCCTTTGATTCAGGTAGTTGAATGTTTTAATTAACCTGGGAGATCAATAAAATACTCTAATTTAGGCTGGAAACTTCAAACACATTAATACAATGGTGGTGAACCACTGTCTTCTCTGGTGAAATGTGTTAAAAAAGAATGAACAATTTTAATATTTTGGGAAAAAAATTATTGATAAAATTTATATAATAATATAATTTTCAAAATAAAGGCATTTTCACCTGTATTTTTTTTATCTCATTGGACTAAAATAATTGGGTTGTTCTAAAGAAATCAACTTCTTAGGTGTTAAAAAAAACTTGTAATTCCAAAGGAACTCAAAGATTGGACGTTCAACAATGGCAATGAGTGATCTCAATTGTTCACATTTTACCTTCTCTAAAGTTACCATTGGTGGGGTGGGACCCCAAAGGGTCGGCAATTTTTTTTTTACTTTTTAAATTGGTGCCACGGTGGAGAAATTGGACTGGGTTGTAATTTTATTTATTTTGTTGATTTATAAAATATCAGGCAGTGGCTGTGAATATGTCTTAACAATAGGTCTGACAACAACAAGGAGGCGCCGCAAGTTTGGAGTTTACTTCATTTGGGGATGTAGGGGGCGCTATGGAACATTATGACCAATTGTGTACAAGCCAGTGAAAGTAGTCCGAGTCCAGGGTTGATTCATTGAGGTCAGCTGACTAACTTTATATAAGTTTTTTTTTTTCTTGAGTTTTTCTCTATTTCTATATATTTTTTCTTCCTTGTTGATGACTTGGGCGTATTCCAAGATGACAGTGTCATGATTCATTTGGCTCAAACTGTGACAGGCTGATGAAGGGGGCAGAAGGCTATGTTTTCATTCACAGACTGGTCACCACAGAATTCACACCTTGAAGGTAGAATCTGCAGAACGCCTTCATGAACACAGACTTTAAAGGTTTCCTGACTGAACCCAAAAGTAAAAACAACATGTCATAATCACCTTAAAGTCTGTCTAATCCAGTAGTTCTTAAGTAGTGGGGCGAACCCCCCTGGGGAGGGGGGCACGATGAGTTGCCTGGAGGGGTGTGAGGGCCTTCCAATAGAATATGACGCGCTGGACACAAATGTCACCACTGCTGTAATACTTGAATGATAACAAGCCTCCAGTCACTAGGTGGCAGCAACTCACACAGTGGTTTGTACAGATAAAATATACACGTTATCAGGTTCTCAACAGTGTTTCACTTCGTGGTGGTGTGGGTCGAGGGGGGGGGGGGTCTAATCCAATGTTATAGCGTCAGGTCAATGTGTATCTGCGTACAGTCTGCAGGGCTGCAGTGAGGTGGCAGTTGAAAGAGGTCCAGCTGGAAGGAAAGGCTGAAATATAGACCTCTTTTGTGTGTGTTGTTTTGCTCCGAATACCTCAAATTCCTCTGGAATCCTGCAGATCCAGAGAAGAGTGACTTGTTCAATAGTTCTGCAGTGTAGAAAACCTTAGAGTGCATTTCATATAAAAACACAAAAATAAAAAACATCGTGTTAGTTTGACATATTTGTTGACAAACGTGGACTTACTGCAGGTTGTGGGCCAAACTTTTTCTTTTTTTTTTCTTTAGCAGCACAGAGGACAGAATTATAACTCTTATGACTAATGTCCACAAGGTGGCGCTCTATCACAGCACATTTAGTTAGGAACGTGGCAGTGGAGGATTATGAGTTTTAACAATGAGGGCTGGGTTTTAGGAAAGTTCTGATACATGTTTGATCCTTATTAAATCCTGTCTGGGGTCAAAAATGAGACCCGTCTGGTTTGATCTTTTCTATGGTGTCAATCAATTCTGTGGTACACCTTCAGACCAACAGTTTGCTACTAACAAACTATCTTCTTTCTGGAATTCAGGGCAATAGATAGACCCTGTTGACAAAAGAATTGCCTAAAAAGTAAAGTAAAAAAAATGACATAAATGAAAAGGAAAAGTAGGTTCTGGCATGAATTCTAACTTTATTCTTGTCATATCTCACTACTTTAAAAACACAAAACACGTATTACTATATTTATACACTGACTGATTGACCTGCATCTCTGGTGGCCATGCATGCAGTACATGTACTTCTACAATATTTCTCCATACAAAAACCTAGATTTTACAAAATGTCTTTTACCAGTGGACAGACAGTCTCCTAGAGTCTCCCACACTGCTGTAACTTCCTTTCGGTCATTTCGTAGAAGATTAGTCATTTCCCCTCGGCAGAAGCACTCACACATCTCAATCACTCCCTCACACACTCACACACAGGGTATGTTCTTGTGTGGTTAGGATTCAGGTCTGTGGGTCGGAAGGTGATAATTGAAAACAAAGTCACCCTGGAGCCAGCTAGTCTTTGACGTTAGGAAAACGTCAAAGACTGGAGGCTGGACTTCATGTTTAAGTCACTCATTACCTAATATCATTTCACTGGGCCTGGTCTACCTGTCAGTCACCTACTGTTACCACCCTACCTCTCTAAATGCACACAAATGCTCTATCTAGTGGTAGGCACAACATGGATTAGATGCATTTCTATAATTTAAACCTTTTTACATCCAGAGAGAGTGTAGATGAGTTCCAGTTCCACCCAGCCTCACTGAGAGACAGTGCAGGCTGCAGCCTGTTACCTGTTCTGTAGTGAAGGTGCTCGGCTGCTGCCTTCTCATCTCTCTGTGACCTGTGCACCTCCAGAACCCTGGGGCATCTGGGTGTAAATCACGGCCGAC